CTTTTTATTTTAGGTCTGAGATTGAACCTGAGGCTTCACCCATGCTAGGCAAGTGCTGTACACTGAGCCACATACCCACCATTTCCCATACTTTATGTTGAGACAATCTTACTTAAGTTGCCAGTCAGGCCTTGAACATGTTGTCCACTTCCTCTAACTTCCCAAGTCACTTGGATTGTAGGTGTGCCCCATGGTGCTCATTTACCCCTACAGTGCTGGAGATTGAACCCAGGGCCTTTGTCTGCAGGTCTTTTTTATTTATTTATTTATTTATTTAGTTTTGAAAGAGCTCCTTCCTGAAACACCCTAGTTGCCCACTCTGGGCTCAAATATGTGATTCTTCCATCTCAGAGAAGACAGAATGCTAGGATTATTACTACTGCTGAGTAAGCCAGAAGTAGTTCAGGTTCTTGTGTAGGACAAGGAAGAAATTGCCAAGCACATATGCTTCATAGTATGTAGTAAGTAACTACATTTATTGGCGATACAGGGTGGCAGCAAGATGAGGGAAAAGGCTAAAAGGAAAAGAAACTCCAGTGTGAAGGGGAGAGAAAATGGCTCGAGTGTGAAGGGGGAAAAGGGAGCCTCAATAACTCAGGCTCCTGGCATTTATAGAATCAGACATCACTGATCGCAAGCACTTCCCACTGTCTCTCTGAGGTCAGCAGTTTGTGTGACCTCCTAAATATAAGGTCACATAATCATTAGGGTGGTCCTAAATTTAAACACAGGTGTCAGTAGGGTGGTGTGATATTCACAATTCAAAGAAGAGAAGGGGGTGACTCAGCTCCTTTGTTTCTAACTGTACTAGGATGGTAGTGTGTGTTACTATGTCCGATTTAATCTCACCCCTTCTTAAGTGACTAGGGCAGTCATACAAAGAGAACTCTGCTTTTTTTCCTTAACACAGGGTCTCACTGTGCAGTTCAGACTGGCCTTGGACTTGCTATGTAGCCTAGGCTGGCCTTGAACTCTTGGAAGTCCTCTTGCCTCAGCTTCCTGAGTGCCAGGATTATAGGCAAGCGCCACCATGCCTGGCTGCCTGTTTTCCTCAGGCTTGCTTTGTTGGTTAGGCACAACTGATCTACTCCCCATCCCACCCCACCCCACTCCCGACTTAAAAGCAGCCGAACAGTTTTTAGTTTAGGCTTTAGTGTGCACTCATTGAGGAGGTTTCATGTTTTAACTAACACTTGGTTAAAAAGTGTTCTCTTCCCACAGGAAGTTAATACTTCAGCTAAGGAAACAGTAAGAGAGAGGGTCTTCTTATAGTACCTTGATAGCAAATTATAGAGACAGAGGTTGGAATAGTGATCACTTCTCAGGCTGGGAGATGGCTCAATAGAATAAACACTTGCCTGGCAAGTGCAAGGACCTGAGTTCAACCCCTGGTTCCACCAAAAAAAAAATATATATATACATATATATCACTTCTGTCTCATTGATTTCTCTCATGGACTGTCATTGTCACATTAAATACCAGAAACATCATTTTAAGTGGTCCCAGGGCACTCAACAAACAAATAACCATAGGTTTTGAATTACTAAGTACTTGGTAAGATTAAATCATACTATAAGCTGGATGTGGTTGTGCACCTTGTAACCCCAGCATGTGGGAGGCTGAGGCAGGAGGATCACTACAAATTCAGGGCCAACTTGAGCTACAAAGTGAGACCCTGTCTCAAAAAAATTATAGTATAAATGCCTTGAATAAACAGTAGATAATGTTGTCTGGGTGATGGGGGAAAACCTTTATAGACCAGGATTTCAAATTCAGGGACCAGGGATGTAGCTCAGTGGCATAAGCACCTGCTTGCCAGGCACAAGGTCCTGGCTTCAATTCCTGGTAACAACAACAACAACAAAAAGTTGAAGTAAAAAGACCTAAGTCTCTGTTTTTAATTGAGTATATCTCTTTAAATTGCTCCCATTCAAGAGAGATTGTGCTACCTGGCAGAGATCTTAGTAAATAAACAAAACAGTGCTCATAGGTCACTACTTTCCAGTCTACTTTGCAGAGTCTTTCTCTCTCTCTTTTTTAAAAAAGTGAACATTGGGCTGGTGAGATGGCTCAGTGGTCTAAAGCACCTACTTAGAACAAGCTTAGCGAGGCACAGGGACCACAGTTCAATCCCCCAGCACCACATGCCAGCCAGCCCCACCCTCTGGTGAGCTGAGCTGGCCACACACACACACACACAAAATAAATAAATAAATAAAATTTAAAAAAAAGTTTTATAATTCTTGTAAGTCATTAGTACATGTGATTTAAAAAAAAAAGTGAACATTAAAATAACCCAGAATATTTCATTACGGATCTCCTCAAGTATACACAAAAGTAGAATAGGACGGGTATACTTATCTGTAGCAATTTCCACATTTTATTTTTTATTTTTTTAAAATTTTATTTATTTATGTGTGTGTGTGTGTGTGGCCAGCTCAGCCCACCAGGGGGCGGGGCTGGCTGGTATGTGGTGCTGGGGGATTGAACCGCGGTCCCTGTGCTCTGCAAAGCTTGCTCTAAGTAGGTGCTTTAGACCACTGAGCCATCTCACCAGCCCAATTTCCACATTTTACCAAGCACCTATTCCTCTGTTCTGTGGGCATTGTAAAGGAAATTTCAGGCATATAGCATATCAGCCACCTCAACGAACATCCCTAATAAGCACTTTTTCCTTTTTTAATATAATGCAGTGCCATTATTATACTTAAGAAACATGACAGTATTCCATAATATGAAATATTTAAATGTTTAATAAGTCAGATAATCAGATTTTGCAAAATGTTGGTAATTTGTTAAATTTATTTTCAGTCTATTTTCTGTTTGGCTGTTTTGCTTTTTGCTTTGAAGCCTAATTTTTATTTTTTATTTATTTTTTTATAGGACAGTTTCAATAATTAATACATTGTACATTGTTATCTTCTTAGTGGTTATCCATAGTACAAGATACAGACAGGATATCCTGTCCAAACACTATTAGTACGAATCTTTCTTCTCATTGAATTAAGTGAAAGTAGCTGTATATCTATTCTAACTACTCTGCATATGCAGATACAAAATGGTCCTTCCTTTGTATCCCCCTTTTTTGTTTAGTCCTGTCAGAAATGGGTATTCCATTGGCATCTAAATACTACAATCCAATACAGTGCAGCAGTCCACAATAGTAGTGGGTTATCCACAGAAGTTGTTGACTTGAGCCTTTCACAGCTCAGCATATTAATATGGCTTTACTTTATATGCCTCATTGAAGCCTAATTTTTAAAGAAGTTTTAGGTTCACAGCAAAATTGAGAGAAAGTGCAGAGATTTCCCATACACCTTTCACGCTTCTACATATGTGCAGCCTCTCCCTACGGTCAGCACCCACCACAGGAATAGTACATTTGTTACAGTTGGTGAGTGCACACTAACACACCCAAGTCATCCAAAGCCTGTAGTTTACATTAATGTTTATTCCTGGTGTTGTAGGCTCTGTGTTTTGGACAATATATAATGATACATGTTCTGGGTAGTCCACTGGAACTTTTATACATTGATGGGATCTTTATAATTTTAGGCAGTCCTATCATGGTGCCTCAGTTTACTCAGGTGAAGTCTGTTTTGTCTTTACTCCTGTGCCTTTATTTTTCCCTTACCTAAACATTTTTGAGTTAAGATACTAAGAGAATAGGTTTAGTTGTGTATCAGATGAATTTTGCTTTATCAGTTATGGTTCATTTTTTGTTCTATAAAGCAGTCAATATAGAGTAGTAAAGAATAAGGGCTGCAAAGTCTTTTGAATTACTTTTGAATCACAGCTCACAAGTGGGTGATCTTGGCAAGTTACTTAACTCAATTATTCTTGACTTTTTTCTGTATTTTTAGGGAAGGGTCTACAGGGTGTTCAGAGTTTCACTGCTAGATTGGACTCTAGTGATTCTCCCATTTACAGCCTCCCAAGTGCTGGAATTACAGCGCGCACCACCGCACCACCACACCCAGTCTCATTCACCATCTCAGTGCGCCCCAGGGGTGGGGTCGGCTTAGTAAACCCAGGAATCAAACCCTGGGTCCCTGTGCCTGGCAAACCCTTTAATCTGCTGAGCTATTTGGCCGGCCCTTGTTCTTGACTTCTAATCCGTAAAATTTGTTAGAGTCTGAGAACTGTTATGATCTTCACTTTATATTTGATGAAACTGAGGTACAGGGAAATGTGATTAGAAGCATGAACAAATAGAAGCATGTGAACTAGTCTTCAGTTTTCCACTTTTGATAGTAAAGATAAGGATGTTGGGAAGGATCCTACCACTGAGCCACATGCTCAGCCCAAGAAGTATGTCTCTAATATAAAAAAGCTCAGTAGGGAAATGGTGATAAGACCCTGACTCATGGCCTCCATGTTAAGGGCAAACAATAGAAGTATTAGCTATGGAAAACTGAAGTATCCACAGCATGACATGTCTAAATCTATTGTACAATGGAAAACTGTCATTTTCATTAAAATAAAACAGCAAAACCCCCAAGTCCTTATTTTTATAACCTTAACTTGTTTTGCAAAGTAGTAACTTAAAAGCTAAAGAATTTAGATACCAGGCTGGGGAGATGGCTCAGTGGAATAAGTGCTTCTCTGGCAAGCACAAGGGCCTGAGTTCAATCCCCAGTTCCGCAAAAAAAAAAAAAAAAAAAAAAAAAAGAATTTAGATACCATCCCAGGTCACAAAACTCATCGTTGAAGGGTAGACTTGGAGGGTGGTCTCAATATATAAGTGGTTATCCCTGTTGGTTTCTATATTATCTGTGTAAGATTCACTTCCTGGAAGAGAATGGGTGGTCTGGAGGTCATATGTCCTAAGGTTTGGGGTGGGGAGGTGGATGGAGTCCTGGGTTTATATGCCCCATCAGAGTCTTTTGGCATTGAGGAAGTGCAGTTTTGGAAAAGATGGGATTTGAGGCTGGCAAAACCAAGTGTTAGCCTTAGACTGTCAGGTGTTTTAACTGTAGATTCTTGTCTCCCTTTCAAGGTGGAGACGACCGCCGGGTTTTGCTATGGCACATGGAACAAGCCATCCACTCCAGGGTCAAGCCCATACAGCTCAAAGGAGAGCACCATTCCAACATTTTTTGCTTGGCTTTCAACAGTGGGAACACCAAAGTATTTTCTGGAGGTAAGAACAGGGGAACAGTGGTTGGGATTTTAGGAGTGCTAAAAGTATCCCTTATTTTTCTGTCTTATTGAGCTATGGAATCACTGATTTCCCATAGCTTGTATTCTTTTCATTACAACAGTGTAGACATGAGTTAAGATACTAAGTTAGTATTTATTTGTTCCTCATCCTTTTTCCTACCCGCCTCTCTTACCTTCTTTCTTTTTGGCATAAAATTTTGCATGTTGAAATCTCAGATAACACACAACTTACCAACTTATATGGTATATTCTTGATTTTACCTACCTCTCCCTCCCTTCCTCCCCCTTCCCCCCCTTTCTTTCATTTTTTCCTTCCTTCCTTCCTACCTACCTACCTACCTTGCTACCTTCCTACCTTCCCTCCTTTCTTTGGAACAAATTCTTACTATATAGTCCAGCAACATCCGTCTTGTTTCATTTTTAAAGTTGTTTGACTGAAACAGAATTTGATGTAATGACCCATGGATGACTTCTGTTTGAAAGGGTTGTGTTAGGATCCAATTGGAATGGCTAGTGTTCAAGCCAACTTGTTGGTTATGTCTTCCATTAACCACCCCTTTCTAAACAACAAATTTCTAGACCTTACCTCTCTTCTGAGCTGCAGATTTTTCCTACCAGATAACTACTTATGTTTTAGAAGCCATTTAAATGGAACCTATCTGGGGTGGGTGAGTGTAGTTTGTCAGCAGTGTTTGCCTACTATATGTCAGTCCCTAGCACCATAAAAAAACAACAAAAATCCTGGTGTGGCAGTGTAACCTGTAATCCCAGCATTTGGGAAGCTAAAACAGGATCACCACAAGTTCATGACCAGCCTGAACTACATAGTGAGTTTAAGGACATCCTAAAGTGT